TGAGGCAAAAGCAGCATGGTAATAGTTTAGACAATGTATGAAATAAATGGTTCGAGGAGAACTTCATTAGAATGAGACCAGGCAAATAATAAACAACTTTTCTTGCATTATTGTACATTTTGTACATTATTGTACATTTTTAACAATCAACAAATCCCACGAAAACACCAAAACTACCATTCCTACTGATGTAAACCTTTAAAATGGGTCACATAGTTTTATTTTTATAAAAGACTCAATAATTACCTAACACCTCATTCCTTTTAGCAAGAATTACATGTCCTTTTTTCTTTTTTGGTGCTCTAGTGAGTATTAACAACAGCAGGATGGCATATGTGGGATCGACTGAAAATAAACTACAGTGCCTGTGCTTGTGAAAATGAACAAACACCCTGTGCAACACTGTGGCTCACTGATGTGTTTTTAATAGTTTTTTTTTTTTTACAACAATGGAGTTCTGTGGCACACCATGTGACAGTACCTGTTACTAGGATCATTTCTTATTCCTGATGACAATAAGAAAAAGAAAAAACTGGAATATTACCAGCCTTATCCTTAAAATAAATATACATTTTGTATCAAATAATTAAATTATAAGACACATTTAGGTCACTTTTGCCAAGTCTGTATTTTAGTAAGTTTAGTTTGATCATTCTGAGGTAGAAATCGGAGATTATCACATATCCACAGTATCCTATGACTGAGAAAACAGCTAATTAGCATAAAGGTGGGAGGGCACCAACAGATAAATGCAGTGTTAAATTCCTTTGTCATTACTACTTATTCTGCATATTCAAGGTTCTGTAGTTTTTATTGGAAGATGGATATAGAATTTATTTTGGCATTTCTTTATAGTTGATCTTTCTCCTCCTCCTAAAAAAATAAAAGAATAAAGCTGTGGGAACACAATGGAAGCACACGCAGCGTGCTGTAGATAACCAACCTCTGAATCACACAGGAGCCCCCGTTGACTCAATGACAGTTAATGGTGCCATTTTCCAACCCCGGCTACTAACCAAAACTTCCTCCAGGCAGCCCATCTTTTTCTAACTCTTGGTATTATTTTAAAGTGCAGTGATGATCTGGTTTTTATAATTTAGCCCTCATCTTCCTTTCCCTCCGTAAAACGGTGGATTATTGCCAGATTAAGGGAGTGCCTTTTTCTTTATCCCTGGGTAAGCCTGCACAGCACGCAGCTCAAAGGTAATGAAGCACTCTGTGATCCATGCCCGGATGAATCTAAAAATTCCCAGAGCACCACTGTATTTTAAAGGAAATGAGATTTCCCTGAAAGCCCCCTTCAAACCTATGCTTTCCATTTTGAAACAGCTATAAACTGTGTGACTACTTAAAACCTGGTGCAAGAACCTAGACCTGTTGCTGTTTTAAAATGAAAATAAATAGCAAGACAGAAGTTTGCATTGTTGTAGTTTTGATAGAAAACTTTAAATGGCAAACAATTATCTAAGCTGCTGAGAAACTAAATCTAACATTATTTCTTTTTTAGAATGGATTACATTGCCCACTAATGGAATTGACCTTTTACTGATTTTCCATTTAGCACCAATACATTTGGTTTTGTCATAATTAACAAAATACAGTTTATTTTGGTGATTAGACTTGATTTGATGAAACTTTAATGATTTCAATGGGGGGTAAGTAGGTCAATGCAGCAGTGCATGGCAAATAGGACATATAGCAAAGACATTGTTCAGGACTGGATTGCATAAGTAATAAATAGCCACTATTTATTATTTATACAATGTGCAAAACCAACATCAAACTTACCAGTAGTATTAGCAGGAGCAGTAATCTAAGGTCTCAGTATGCTTCAAAGGAATAAGGTCATATGTCGTCCAACCATGCAAAAGTGTTTATACCTGCTCAGAATGGCCACACTCAGTGTGAAAAGCCTGCCCTCCTGCCCTCGTTGTCTGCATCCCGATCTCTCTCCAAGAACTGACTGAGCATGCTGAGTGATCTGTTGCAGACGCTGGGCGACCCCAGCCTCCCTCAGATAGTCTACTCTGACCTGGCTTGTCCTTTGCTTCCATTTTATCAGCCTCAGTCAGTGGAGTGTTGATGTGAGCCTGAGGAACTAAGGTGACTAAACTCATCACCCTGGGTGATGAGGCCCTCCCAGACTCTTGGTCTTGCTGCAGTTGTGTTACAAACGGTTCTTCTTGCACCACCTGGCAGAGCCCCACCTGGCAGAGCTCCCCATACAAGCATCACAGCTCAGATCTATTTTTAGGTAGTTGTTAGTTTTCCCCAGTCAGTCAGTAGTTAATATATTCTACTTTGTATTTCTTGTCTGGCTTTTTTAAAACAAGGCTCACTAAAAACCAAAACTGTCAACCTGCTGGTGGCACTATATAAAGAGTCAGGAGTTCAACAAAAACTTTAAGATACATTGTCTCCAAACCATAAATGATGTGGCAATCCATCAAAAAGATTCACTACATAACTGAAAACTTTGCCCTGCTGGTGGCGTTAAGTAAAGGATCAGAGGAGCATAAATGTACAAGTGAACAACAAAGATATTAAATAGACACACTGTGCTCACATTCTCCTCTTCCTCCTGCTGCTTCAGCCGCTTTTAAATCAAACAGACAAAAATAAGCACTTAAATGTGGGGCAATTTGTATTTGTGACTTAAGAACTCCAAGTAAGAGCTTACGAGGAACAATTTTCAATTTTCAATGACTAAAATATGTCCATTGGTAAATAATAGCATCCAGCCAGCGATCATCATTAAGTCAAACGCATCAGTCAAGTGTAACTTCAGAGGAGCCCTAAAATGTATGCTTTTACTATAAAAGACTATTATTATATCAGGAGAAGATAATGAGGTGTGCCATCCACTGCATCCCTGGTTATTAGTCATCACATTGATCACAAATGATGTATTTTTAATAAAGCAAAGAACTGCCACTTGTTCCCAGTGCAGTTTCTTCTGTTTTGTGGTTTTTATTGTGCAACAGACTCCAGAAAATTACGTTTTTGAGAAAATATAATTTCAAGACTCAATAACAGTCTATAAACTTTTTTTTTCCCACGTTTTTTTTACTTGAAACACATTACAAGCCACTTGACCAAAATCGTATCTTGTAAGCTCTGTCTTTCATCTGAAGTTACATTTAAAGCATGTTAATACGTTTAATTGTGCCGTGTGCAACACTGTTGGATGACGCTCACTCTCTTTGAACATAAGAGCTGACCACATCATCATATGGCCTGTGGATGGGGTCCCTGTCTGTCACATGACCATTGCTCAGTTCTGACATCTTCCTGTGGACGGTCCATGCCAGGTGAAACAGCCAGGTCTCTTACAGTTACAGGAAAAAAATAAGTAATCCGATTACAAATAGCTTTTGTACAGTTTTAAAACCCATTTTAAACTAAAGAGCAATGTACTTCCATGCACATGTGCAGTGGGCACACATTACAACACTACGCAAGTCTTACAACACCACTCTGGTTTCTCAAGTGAAACCATTTTAATCTTACAGTTTATTATCATGGCCTCTTGTGAAAAAAAAGTTTTCACTGGGTGGAAATGTCACCATTATTTTGTCTCTACAGCAGAAAAAGGGGAACAACATCACAGTACAGTACAAGTTCTGCCTTCCTGCTGTGCAAATGGTAGACTACAGCCTTTTTCTGTAAAGATACGCTGAACAAAGGAACATTTCTGAAGCTAAAAACCTTTTCCCCATTTTCTTTTCTACGGTTACACTGTTCTGTTGTCCTATAGAATATGTAAAAGTCATCTTATTACTCTTTTCTTTATTTGCATATTTGGTGTTGAGGTAATCCAAAAGTAGCACAAAGTAATCAGGTTACTTTAATATTGTGATACTTGGATTACTGACTACATTTCTTCATTAGTAATGGTATTTCATTACATTGCTAATCACTTTATATAACCTGTTATTTCCTTTCAGTTTCAGGGTTTTACACTTCTTTACTATGGTCATATTTATTCATAATAACAGTAGCAGCTTGTATTGAGCATAAAATTGTTTTAATATTTAAATAAAATATAGAATGAAGCAGAACAGAGGGACTAATACAGTTGAAAAATACAACAAACTCTCCTAAATCACTCCCAACTGCTTACTGTCACTTTTTAATACAGTAAACTTTGAAAATGACCGTGCCAGATTCTAACCTGTTGAGATGTGTGCAAGCTTGTTTATACAGAGTTTCTGACTTGTGATAGTAATACCACCTCAATCAAATTCTTGACTGATTTTTTTTTTTATCTGCTTTTGGATATTAAAATGATTTGATAAATAACAGAGTGAATCTGTGGTGGTGGAGGAGGATGTCTTCCCCAGCTCTCCTTTTGCATCCGCCGTGCTGACCTCTGCTGCCTCTTAAACATAAGCATCATTTCAGTGAATGGATTAAAGATTGGTGAGGGGCTGGTTGGGGCGGGGGGGCTTCAGGGGTATCCATACTTGACTTTTCTTACAGGGCCGCCAAACCATGAAGTGTGCCCCTGTGTGCAGTTTGAGAACAACTGTAGGCTGTATGTGCATTCAAACAGCTGCAGGGAGGGCAGTGTCGCTCACCTTTCACTGCCATACTGTAACACAGCCGTTTGACATGAGACAGCCCCCTAGGTGTCTCACTTTCTTAGTGTTTGTATGGGCTGGAGCGCAGCGCCGGCTGCCCGCCTGCCTGCTGCTCGTCTGGCTGACTGGCTGCGTTGACGTCAGCGCCGTGTTGATTTGCTAAGGCGAGAGAAGAAAGGAGTTAGTGCGTGTTGAGAGAGCGGGTACTGCGAACTGCCTTACTATGCTGTAGCCCCACTCCCCCTACACTATACGGAATCAAAACGTGCAACTTAGGTGAGTACCGATCCGGGCTAAACGCAGCTGCAGTTTCCCGGCGACAAGTGCCAGACGCGCTGCTCTGCATGCGTCTGCCACTGTTTTCTCTGTGTACTTTCATTCACCATGTGGATGTTTTGATGCATTTATAGCGCTGTGGATCGTTCTGCGTGTCCCCGTTCAACCTCATGCTGAAGTTAACTGGAGCCTAAACGCGACTTTGGCACGCAAGTTGGATCCGCGCACCGGAGTGCCGGATGAAAACAAGTGTTTACCTGATTGCGCTGCAAGGTGTTGAAGTTTGCATTAACGCACGGTAGTGTATTGTAGACATGTTAAGGTTGACGTAACCCCCCCTCCTCCTCTCCCTCTCTCTCGGTCTGGTTTAGTATGCTGGGGATCGCAGCCAGAGGACGTGAGGTCTGGCTGTTTCACCGGGAGCCAGACAACATATGACGCCCGGCTCCATGTGACTTTACTGGAGAAATCGCGTTTGCTCGTTTTGATGGAAATTATGCAATTTTTAGACAGCGACACTGTTGCCCGTCCTTGTGTCTCCGGGCGCACCACTGTGGCTCATTTAGCCGTGATGACATCATGATGAGGACTGGGGACACTGGTCTTTAATCTCGAAACAAGCCCAGAACCAGTCAGTGTACAGTGAGACCGCAATTGATTGACAGGCAGCGAGATGTTTGATTGGTCACCAATAATCGGCTTGCAGTAGCACGCGCGGCGGGCTGCGAGGTGGGGAACAGATGCAATGGCAAATTGATTTGTTATCGAGACTGTCTGTCTCATCTCTCTCTCCCTGCTTTCACTCCTTTTCCCCCTCTTTATCCTCCAGGCATCGCGCTCTGGATCAAACCTCCTCCTCGTTAATTGCGAACAGGCAGTATTTGAGTGTTTCACCCTGCCTCAAACAAAGTCCACCTGTGCGTGGATCAGAGCAGGGCTGGCGTGGGTCGGCCACACATTCTGGCAGCTGTCTGTCTCGTGTGTACTTTTCCAGCACGCTCAGTGTCTCCTGATTGTCCCCTCAGAGACGCCGTGCCGTTGTGCTTTCTCCACATTTGCGTGTGTCAGTGCGGCTCATGGTCTGGAATATTGAACGCTGTTTGTTCTTGTTGTGGCTGGGTCGCCAAGGCGCGCTACGGCAGACAACTCGTGATCACATTGATTATGCTGCCTTTCTGTGAAGTCGGCCTAATGTGGTTATTGTCAGCAGGTCTACATTGTCGTCCGACGAGGAAAAACGTCCCCTGGCTTAATGTACTTAATGTAGTGTGCGCTGTTTTGCATAATGCATAACGCGCTGTATAATTTGTCTGCTGCGGCTGGCCAATATTAAAACGCTGTCTAGACGCGCGTAGCTCTGTCCTTCTTATTAATAGAGAGCCAGCAGACGCGATAAAGTCCCCAAACAGCAACTTTACATTGTGTCCCGGTGAAGCCACAGCCTGGTGGATAGCCCACAGAGCGCGTCAGGCATTGATCGTATACGGGGCCATAAATCGCAGCTATTGGCACAGGCCTACCTGTAATAAAGATAATGTCGGGTTTTAGGCATGACCTCTGTTGACTGAGAGGCTGGGCTCAGTTAGACGAGAACCTGTGGTTTCATTATTACCTATCCTTTATCGATTTGTATCAGTGTGGTGGGAAAAAAAACCCAAACTGTCCCAAAAACCGGCGAGACTATTTCTATTTTTTTCCATGATCCTCCCCGCAAACAATAGCTGCCAGCATCTTTCACCTCCTGCATATTCTCATCCAGGCTTCTGTGATTGTAGGTTTTTGAAGTGATCTTAAAAAATAATTTTTTTTCCTGTAAACTCGTCGTCTAAGGCTGATATGTCTTCTTTTCTCCGTGTGTGTGTGTTTTGTTCTCAGGCAGAGAGGAAGGAAAAGAAGTGCTCACAAACTTCTCTTTTTATTCTCTATTTTTTTAAAAAAAAAAATCAATATGAAGCTCTTTGGAAATGAAATAGAGGAGTCTGAAAATGAAAAAGAAGTTTGTGGAAATTAAGAGAACATTTTCTTAACAGGAAAATGATGAACAGAAGCAAAAGAGCTGACAGAATATGTCATTATAAACCTCATATATTGAATAGAGTGAGTAGATAAAAATTGGACATCAATGAGCTCATCCAGGATGTGGGTCAATGGAGGCACTTAGCTGGTCGCCATTCATTCATTCATTCATTCATTTAGAGTATATACAGTGGCAAGACTGTTTATTTAATTGTAATAATGACGACAGCATTGTTTCAGTGTATGTCACAATAATTTGTGTGCAGGAGACAGTAGGTGAGACTATTTAATTGAACCCTCTCTCCATTATTTTTGTGTAGGTCAAAGTATGCAGTAGATATGAGGTGGAGCAACATGTTGCCCTGTTAACTTGGATAATCGAGTTAACAGCAGCCACAGAGATAATCATTCATTTGGATATTCGACAACAGTGACTAAGAGCAGAGCAGGGTGTTTGGTGCTGCAGCGTTGTGTGCTTTTGCCTAGTCCTGCTTTCCTTTCCATCCATTTCTGGCCGCTGCTCTCTGCTCCCGTCTGTGATGGGAATACTGAGTAAGATGCTATTTAATTTCAGAAAGGCTGCTGACGGTCTTTGTGCGCCGAGCAGCAGTGAAAAAAACCACAATTCACACTTGTTTAACTGTGGGTACATGCCCACCAGATAGCCAAATGAAGACATCTTTTTAACATAACATATGTTGGACTGATTGGTATGCAGGGTGAGCTTGTTGGACGGCTCACAAATTGTCTCCCTTCAGAAATCTACAGTCAATACTCTCCGCTGATTTTAAGAACAATGGCTCTGCACAGAGTGTTTACCATCCCTGCTGGATATTTGCAATTTGAAACTCCACTGACTTCACATTTACTAAATGAATGTATAGGTTTAATAAATGTATTGACAAATTAATTAAATTTTTATTTTCAAAATGTAATTAATGCATGTGGTCTATTCCCTTTTGTGAACAGTAACAATTTGGGATTTATTTGTATGCATTTGGTGAATTTGTTTCTTTTAAAGGACATTCATTCATTCCATTTTTGAGAAAAAGGAGAATTTGGATTTGTAACGTTTGAAAATGTAAATGAGTATTTGTTCTTGCTGTTGCTGTTGCTGTTGCGTCAGAATTTACCAGGACTGATTTTTTTTTTCCCCCATTCTGTTTCTCCATGCAGGTTTCGTCTTGTTTACAAAGATAGCTAAAAACACTGCTGAGCGGGGAAGGCGAGCCTCATGAGTCGGCCTCGTGGATTGCATCGACATAATGGATTTAACTAAAATGGGTATGATCCAGCTCCAGAACCCCAACCACCCCACTGCCCTGCTGCAGAAGGCCAACCAGATGCGTCTGGCCGGGACTCTGTGTGACGTGGTCATCATGGTAGACAGCCAGGAGTTCCATGCTCACCGGACTGTGCTAGCCTGCACAAGCAAAATGTTTGAGATCCTCTTCCATCGCAGCAGCCAGCATTACACCCTGGACTTTCTTTCACCAAAGACTTTTCAGCAGATTTTGGAGTATGCTTACACTGCCACACTCCAGGCCAAGGTGGAGGACTTAGATGACCTTCTGTATGCAGCAGAGATCCTGGAGATTGAATACTTGGAAGAGCAATGCCTCAAGATCCTGGAAACCATCCAGTCCTCGGATGAGAATGATGTGGAGGTCAATGCTAATGACGGCAGCACAGAGGAGGATGATGAGCGCAAAGGTCACAATGGAGCCAAGAACTCCAAAAAGCATTCCATGGAGAGTCCCTATCTGTCAGGTACCCAGCAAGTCTCCATCATGGCTGGTATGGTGGACCAGAGTCCCTCGGTTTCCACCTCTTTCGGTGTCTCCACCCTGAGTCCCACCAAAACTGCTGTGGACAGCCTGATGAGCATCGGCCAGTCTCTGCTCCAGCAGGGCTTTGGGGGCGAACAACTTGTTCACGGCAACTCCCACCACCTGATGACAGAGATCAAGACTGAAATGATGCAAGTGGACATGGGTGGCAACGGCCATGATAGCCCTCCCAACATGGAGTCCAGTGCCTCCAGCAATGGCGAGCGAAGTGGGGAGGACAGAAACCGAGACGGTCCAGGAACACCAACCAGGAGCAGCGTAATCACCAGTGCCCGAGAGCTACATTACGTCCGCGACGAAGGCATGGGCGACCCACAAGCTGAAGTCAGCCAGATGGGGCTGGAAGCAATGGCCGGGATGACGGAGAAACATCTGGCCTCGCTGTACTCCCTACCCGTCAATCACAAATCAGATGCCATCATGTCCATGCCGGCATCCATGGCCTCCGCTCTCCCCATGTCCCCGGCCCTGGCTATGTCTATGGACTTCAGTGCCTACGGTGGACTCCTGCCTCAGAGCTTCATCCAGAGAGAATTCTTCAGCAAGCTCGGGGAGCTGGCAGTGGGCATGAAACCAGATGGCAGGAACCAGCATGAACGTTGCAATGTTTGCGGTGCAGAACTACCAGATAACGAAGCTGTGGAGCAGCACAGGTAAGCCACGTTTTCTTCGAGTAGCTGCTTAATGCGTAATTGTTGTGGCCTTAAAATCTATAGTCTTTTTCAGCCTTTAAGCACTTGCTTTTTTTCAATGAATCTCATTTTAATGGTTGATGCAAGATTACCTAGTCACTATGTGCAACAGAAAGTGCAAATCTAAAGTAATTTGGCATCAGAACATCTAACTAATAATACATATTAGTTACAGTATTTCTATGGATAATAGTGACCTTCCCAGGTGTAGGTCATCCGGTTTTCCCTAAGGAATGAAAAAGTATATTGAGTATATATTGAGAATAAAGGAAATAAGAAATTTCGTTTAGCTTTCTTAAGCTAATACCACTCATTCTGTGTGTCTGACAACTGTAAAATAACCCTTCCACACATCTGTAATATATGTGTAGGTGTTGTCCTCTGATGGACACAAACCTTAGTTCTGTGTGGCTCTGGCCCAGACTTCCCACTCGTTCAATAATGCTATGCCTGCCCAGGTGACTGCCGGAGCAGTGCTGTCGTAACATTGTCTAAGACCATTAGTCACATCTTACAAGATGTGGGCGGCAGCTATCACACACACTTACCAAAGTGGTCGCCCCTCATCCCGGACCCGACTCACCTCCCCTTTCCAATAACTGCACAAGGGGGGCCCTTATTAGCTTGATAATTGGAGTAGACGGTCAGCCCAGGAAATGAGTACTGAACCTGGGCTCTGAGACAGGGAGGTAGTTTTAGGACAGGGGAGTGGCAGTAAACCAGCACTATTTCAATCAGTGTATATAAATAAATCCTCAGGCCTGAAAACTTCCCTCACTGCTGAAACTCACCTGTAGACTTTTTCAAAACTGCATTTTCATTTCATTCTGCATCTGTCGACGTTATATCAGCCCAGTCAGAGTAGAAGCACCTTGTGGAATGGCATCATTTTTTTTGTGGAATTTGTACAGTCAGAGTGTTTTTGCGATTTATGACTAGGGGCCTTTTCTTACTTGAAGGCCACCTTCTCACCCTGCAACGTTTGCTCAAATCAATAGGAATGCACAGTAGTGGTTAAAGTTCACTTGAGGATTTGAACCCCATCACCCATCCCCTCATTGAGCCAGTATCTTGCTATGCATGTGTAAGAGCTGGGCTGATTGAGTCCAGTCTCCTCCGTTTTTAACTATGTCTGTATTGTCTTCAGAAAATACTGAATATTACTGAATATTACAGAATGTCTTTTCCACCGAAGAGAAGTGTCCTTGTTTTCAGCCTTATACTATGTTATTGAGCAGTGTTTTTTATTTGGATGAAGTCAGTTACTTTGTAGTTTTGTGGTTTTGTCAGTTGCTTCTTAACGGGTACAAATGTGTGTGGGTTCATGACGAGTGCTCATTATTCATTGAATGAAAGGGGAATTTCTGCATGGACTGACACTATGTGTCTTTTAAAAACCCCAGCAACTGTAGAAGTGATTTTTGAGCCGCTTAATATCCGTTCTTCCTAAGCAGGCTTTAATAGCAGCTTTAAAATACACTATAGTTTCTGCGTAAAATGCATCAATATGTAGTATCACTGCGATAAAGGACAGGCTGCACTAGTCTCTGTCATGAGAAAAGTCTGGCGTGTGAAATGGTTGCCTGTGTTTCAAGAGGAATTTCATCAATTCGCTCAAGCTGGGAAATCTTGTATCAAAGGAGATTTCCAAACCGTTTCATGCATTGATCTTCCCGCTTCGCCCCATAGCATACTAATGGGTTAATTTAGACTGGTTGATACACCGACACGACACTGTTTAATATTGTACGCGCTGTCCTGACAGCCTCCTGAAGTGTAGAAATCAAACATTGCATCATCCGCTGTCTGCTTTGCCGTCCGCACATGAAAGGTCTGCTGTGCTACCCTGAGATGCTTGATAATTCAGACGCTCCTCGTGTCCTCACAAATTCCAATGTGGGTCATTTGATAGCATATCAAGTCTCTTTTTTTTCCCAGCATACAGCCTTGTCAAGCTGCCTGATTCTTTTGATGTGAATACAAGATGTTTTATTTCAGACGAGCGGAGTCGCGTTCCCTCTGACTAATTACACATCATTTCCCCCGCAGCCACTGTGTCAGGGTCATCGCTGCCTCTGCAACAAACACAGAAAAAGTTGGCAGAGTTCACTTGGTGCAGGCAGGTCAAGTCAAACATGAGTGTAATTGTTTCCAGATGTGGCACAGGTCGTTGGTGTGAGGTGTCTGTATGTTAAAATGAATGCACCAGAAAGTACCCACTTCCTGTATAAATTTAGTCTCTGTTCCCTTTCATTCCTCTGTGCCCTGGATTATATCATAAAAACACCCCACCCAGACTCAATACATCGTGTATTGGCTCCACAAGTGGTGTGTGGGGAGTCACCTATGGGATAAGGAAATATATGGCAACAATAACATGTGTAAACACAAGAGTCATTGAACATCTGATCAGATTACTTATTCTTTAATCCCATAACTCCCAACCAAATCAGTTTTTATTTTCTAATTTTAGTCTCCTTTATTAAGGTTAAGCTCTTGTATGGTTACTTTTGTTCAGACAACTTGTAATATAAGTGACCTTGGGCTTCTTAAAAGTAAGGTATCAAAGACGTATTGTATCTGGTATCAGTACTGTATTGACACTAAACATTTTCAGCGACATGCAGCCCTATCTCGAATTCACCTTCTAAAGAAAAAATGTATGAAGCTAAGAGAAGGGCCACATTTTATAGGTGCCATAGAGGGTTCTGTCGACTCAATCCCCATCTGACCACAACAACTCCCCCCCCCCGCCATCTCTCCTCCAGCAGTTCACCCCACCACCTCCCCACTGACAAGCCCTAGATTTATTTCTTAAAGGAAGCCCAGGGTGAGTGTTGTTACTGCTTCAGGGAGACAGGATTACAGCAATATTTTAGTAACCCTTGCACTGAGAAAATAATCAACACAGGAAGGACCTGAGTGATTATTGGGAAAATAAATGCATGATGCAGGGAGCTAATTCTGCAGTGGCGGGGGGAAAGAAGAAAAAAAAAAAAACCTCCACTGCTTGGTATTCCAAACACAGCATCCAATTCACGGGAACTAGCCTTGGGTTTATCTCTTTCACTTAATCGTCCATTCTCATGCAAATGACTGACCCTCGCTGTAATGTACATCACATAAGTGAAAAAAGAGCCTATTTTAAAGGAGAGCTTTTCCAGCATATAGCTGTTAAACATTACTGATAACCATCAATGCTTTAACTCTGTCTTTTCATAATACAGCCTGGGTTTTTTTGAAGGGGGGAAGAGGGGTTGCATGAATAAGACAAGTCAATGAATTCCTTCCTCTCCTCTCTGTTTTTGTTCATGTTATTTTTATTATTGGTGGAAATATTGGGGTTTGGCCAGGGTGGGAGTGGTGGAAATAATCACCCCTGCATTAACATCTACACGCGCACACACTCATGTGTTCATTACTTTTTATACACATTCCCTTCAGCAGCAGCAGCAGCAGCCAGCGCTCACTCTTCCATTTCCTCTCCCTTTGTGGCAAAGGGGTGCGGAGGGTGCTCTAATACCCCGGGCCCCAGGTGTTTAAACAGTGGGCCCAAGGCCCTTATCTGTGCATATCAGAGTGGGACAGATAACCCTTGGCACTCCTCCTCAGTAAACCAAGAGCAGATTGAGTGCAGATAGCGGCCTGTAGCATTTGTTGCAGGTGATAACGATGTATGCACACACACACATATACTCTGCACGTTGAGGTGAGGCCAGTGGAAGGTATGCAAGTTGTTTCCCCAGACACTTGTGTGATTTGGCCACTATCAACCATTAACCACTGCTTTTTACTATACATTCACACCATGAGCAACTGAGTAGTTGGGGTCAAGTGGCCACCATGATTGTTGGTTGTGTTGTGCCGACAAAAATCGGCTTGAGAAAGTCTGTACTGAAGTCTGTAAAAATCCCAACTTATCTCTTGGAAAGGCAAACTTTATCTGATCTTAAACATCACTTCTGTGTGTTGCAATGATGAAAACCATCTCTCTACTAATAAGATATTAAAGCTTGAAGAAAGTTATACTGCAAACTTTGCTTCATTGACAGGTGTCTCAACCACTGTCAACCAGCTGTGTTACTTTCCACTTTGTCATCCCGACTCACTTCCCCCCAGACTCAACCCTCTTCACCCAAATTTGGTCTCGATTTAACTACCGCAATGCAGCGGTCAAATTGACTTGTTTCAAATCGATGTTTTTTGAGACATAAAAGATGACAAAGGAATCTTTTTGAACAGGCAAATCAATGGTATTGTTCTGATAGTGACTGCCTCAAGATACACTAGAGCTAGCTAGCAATTGACAGTAAACTGAAAAACTTGTCAAAAACCAACTTTTCTTAAATATGAAAAGAATCTACACATCAACGTTGTTTTCTGTTAGGCTCCTTTGGAAATCAATGGATCTTCTGATGGGGCTGCTTTTTAGGGTTTCAGTTGAGCAAGCAGTGCTGCACCCATAGCTGCTACTGTCATCAAACAGCACTGACGTCTGACTGTGAAACAAACACCAGAAGCAACACAGGCCAAGTGATAGCGACTCTTATGATCAACTTGCAGCAACTTTTCAATCTCTTCTTTCTCCCTTTACCCTTAATGTTGTCATACATAGCCCCAACCCCTGTCTGAAAGGTGCAGATACAGCAAGCACTGTTGTGGCACGTGTTCTCTCTGCGTTCGAGTAGCCACAAGGGTCCGATTGGGTCTGTGTAATTTCCGTCAGAGTGCGAAATGTATGGCAGCGCAGACTACACATGGGCTCGAAAATCGAAATGTTGTTTTTGTGTAGAGGTTGCATTTTGATTTCCAGTGCTTGTGTGGGGAATGAATCCATGGACTGACACCCAGTGTGGCATGTGCAGAATCACGTGTGTGTCCACCGCTGTCTGCTTCCTGCTGATTTTGGAGTATATCAGAGCTCTTCAGAAAGCGTTTCTCTGTAAAGGAAGAAAGAACTT